AAGAAAAAAAAGTCCTTCCAGGAGGAAGGGGTGGTGGTGGGAAAAAAAGTCCTTCCAGGAGGAAGGGGTGGTGGGGGAAACAAAAAAAAAAGAAAAAAAGTCCTTCCAGGAGGAAGGGGTGGTGGTGGGAAAAAAAAGAAAAAAAAAGAAAAAAAGTCCTTCCAGGAAGAAGGGGTGGTGGTGGGAAAAAAAAGAAAAAAAGTCCTTCCAGGAGGAAGGGGTGGTGGTGGGAAAAAAATTTACAAAAAGAAAAAAAGTCCTTCCAGGAGGAAGGGGTGGTGGTGGGAAAAAAGAAAAAAAAAGTCCTTCCAGGAGGAAGGGGTGGTGGTGGGAAAATTTTTTTAAAAATCCTTCCAAGAGGAAGGGGTGGTGGCATAGATATATACACTAGATATCGCCTGACCTATTGATGTCTATTGGACAGAATGCGTCAATAGCGCCGCCATCTTGCTACAGGGTAGCGCTCCTTTGAAATGAATGTGGGACCAATGTACAGTGGAGGACTGTGATCATCCAAAGCCAGAGATATACACATATACACATATATCTATGATCTGGAGTTTTCCTGGATGTTAGTATGTAATTTTTTTTTTCTAATTACGAAAATTATAATTTTACATCACTTTTCTACATTGATGGATCAGTGACCGCACGGGCATTCCTGACAAAAAGCTTGTGTTTGTGTGTACAGAAATGTACTATTCACCCTCCCTGTTAAATTTTATCTAATTGAACGACTCTTTCACCAACGTTAGCCGACAATAATACAAGTTTCTGGCAGCGCAGCATCTCGTTGTCATATTTCTTTTGCATTGTTTGCTGATTTTATTCAACAAAACTAGCATAAGCCGAGTGTTTGGTGCGAGTTGGAGCTGCTTTGCCGTATGGTGAATGCAGTGACTGTTATCATCAATAACGCGTTACCTGATTAGCACAAAAGTTCAGAACATACAAAAACAGAAAAAAACTTAATATTACCTATGAAATGTTTTGCCTTTGTGCTTTGTTTTCTTTGTTTGCTCGTTACTACACCCGTATACAGCGCTAAAGTCCTGCATCTTCACGTAATAACACTGTCTTGACTAGTGCGGTTGAATGACAATTGTCCTGGGAGCACTGTACCAATGTGGCGGCGCTATTGACGCATGCTCAGGGTCCCTATGCGATATCTAGTGTATATATCTATGGGTTTCTATCAGGGTACACACCGGCGCTGCAAGTCAGCTGCCCCCAGCCACGACTCAGGACACTGTTCATATTTCTGCCGCGCCACAGAGAGGCAGAGTGCCGTGCTCATCAGACCAGGCAACGTTTCTCCAATCTTCTATTGTCCAATTTTTGTGAGCCTGTGTGAATTGTATTCTCAGTTTCCTGTTCTTAGCTGACAGGAGTGGCACCCAGTGTGGTCTTCTGCTGCTGTAGCCCATCTGCTTCAAGGTTAGACGTGTTGTGTGTTCAGAGATGCTCTTCTGCAGACCTCGGTTGTAACGAGTGGTGGTTTGAGTTACTGTTACCTTTCTATCGGCTTGAACCAGTCTGACCATTCTCCTCTGATCTCCACAATAAACAATGCATTTGCGGCCACAGAACTGCCGATCACTGGACATTTTCTCTTTTTCTGATCATTTTCTAGAGATGGTTGTGCAGGAAAATCCCAGTACATCAGTAGTTTCTGTAATACTCAGACCAGACCGTCTGGCACCAACCATGCCATGTTGAAAGTCACTTTAATCACCTTTCTTTGTCATTCTTATACTCGGTTTGAACAGCAGCAGATTGTTTTGACCATGTGTACATGCCTATATATATATATATATATATATATATATATATATATATATATATATATATATATATATATATATATATATAGCACAGTTTCAATATCTAAATATGTATAAAGATGGATGGATAAACACATAGATTGGTGGGTGGGTGGACAGATGGATGGGTGAGTAAATGAAAGGAAGGATAGACGGAAGCCTGGGTGGATGGATTGGTGGACAAACAGATGGATGGACAGACAGATAGACGAAAGGACAAATGGACAGACAAATGAATAGTCAGATAGATGGTTGGATGGATGACCAAATGGATGGATGGATTTATGGATGGACAGACAAATGGACAGATGGGCTGACAGAAAGTTGGATGGATGAATGGACAAACAAATAGACAAATGGAAGGACGGATGGATAGTCAAACATACAGAAGGATGGATAGATTAACAGATATATAGATGAATGGATAGACAAATGAATGGATGGACTGATAGAAAAATGGACAGATAGATGGATGGATGGATGGATAGATATTTTCTTTCTGCATCTTTAACTGTATATTATCTTGAATCTGTAGAAGTTTGTCTGTTCGTCATAATGTGTACTATTATACATCAAAGTTTATAAATTAATATTATTCATTTATAATTATTAGTTTACTAAGGTTTCTACTGGAGTGTTCCGTTTAACTCTGCTAAACTATAATTATTAAAGTTAAAACATAAACTAAATATATAAAAACCTAAACAGAAAGGTGCTCTCGATACAAAATCTAAAACATGAAATAAGCTGAAATTAGGGCAAATGTTGAAATAAAAAAAAATAAAAAAAAATAGTCTCACAATAAAAACAAATTCAAATGCGAAACTTTAATAATCTTGTTTTGTTTATGTGTGTTTGTGCTTGTGTGTGTGTGTGTGTGTGTGGAAAGAGAGAGAGGCTTCTGGTCACAAGGTCCTGCATGTGAGCTGCTGCAGTGGCTCCTGAATAGTGTATTTTTGCTGACAACGTCCCTGCCACACACAGTTACACAACTAGGTGTTTATCAATGAGTGTCCACAGCAGCAATGAACACACACACACACACACACACACAAACACACACACGTTAAATAAGGTCATTCTGAACATAATGGTGCAGCTGGAAGGAGACCATTTTTGATTATTTATTTATTTAAGATTCACAATTATTGTCAGATTTAACACTGATTAGACAACAGTGAAATAAATGGATGGATGGATAGACAAACCGAAAGATAGATGGATGAATGAATGGACATTTAGATGGATGGATAGATGGATCAATGGGTGAGTGGATGGATGGATGGATGGATGGGTGGATGGGCTGGTGGACGAACAGATAGATGGATGGACAGACAGATGAATGGATGGGCAAATGAATAGACAGATAAACAGATGGATGGATTTATGGATGGACAGACAAGTGGACAGATGGAAGGATGGATGATAGACAAACATATAGAAGGATGGATGGATGGAATAACAGATGATATAAAAATGGATAAACAGATAGATTGGTGGATGGATGGATGACCAAATGGATGGATGGATTTATGGATGAACAGACAAATGGACAGATGGGCAGACAGAAAATTAGATGGATGCATGGACAAACGAATAGATAAATGGAAGGACGGATGGGTAGTCAAACATACAGATGGATTGATAAAATAACATAGATAGATGGATAGATTGACAAATGGATGGATGGACTGATAGAAAGATGGACAGAAACAGATGGATGAATGAACAGACAGACAGACAGACAGACAGATAGATAGATAGATAGATAGATAGATAAACGGATGGATAGACAAATATATAGATGGATGGATGAATAAATTACTACATGGATGGATAGATAAACAGACAAATGGATGGATAAACTTCTATATGGATGGATGAATGGATGAACAAATAAATGAATAGACACAGATAGATAGACAAATGGATAGATGGACTGATAGAACGATGGACGGATAAACAGATGGATGGATCAAGACAGATAGATAGACAGACAAATGGACAAACGGATTGATAGACAAATTAATATATATATATATATATATATATATATATATATATATATATATATATATATATATATATATATATATATATATATATATATATATATATATGTATATGTATATGGATGTATGGAAGGATGGGTGGAAAACTGGATGGACGGATGGATGGATGGATGAATAAACTGCTTTATGGATGGATAAACAGATAGACGGATGGATGGATAAACTGATAGATAGATGTATAATAGACAAACAGATGGATGGATAAACTGATAGAAGGGCATGGATGGATGTACAGATAGAAAAAAAATGAATGGATTCATGCAGATAGATAAATGGACGGACGGACGGATGGACAAACAGACAGACAGACAGATCAAAAGAAGATAAATGAATGGATGGATGGATGGATGGATGGATGGATGGATGGATAGATAGATAGATAGATGATAGATAGATCAACAGACGATGAATGGATGGATAAACAGATGGATGGAAGGATAGAAAATGATTGGATTCATGGACAAATAGATAGAGATGTATGGATAGATAAACAGATAGACAGATGGATAATGTTTTCATTGTGTCTGTACATTTGCACATTTATTATGTAGACTTTTAATCTTCATGAAACACTAAACACATTTTCTGTCAAAATGACACGCTGTATTTAAAATCACACATTTCATTTGCATTTTCCGAGTAATAGCCTCAACACATTACTATTACTATTATTTTACAGTGGAGCTTTAAAAGCAAGACTCGCAACAACAATGAAAAGTTACATCATTAAATGAAAAAGCATGACATAAGCTGCCTTAAAAAAAAAAATCAAAAACGTTTTACAGAATATTACAATTCATTATAATCAGTAACTAACAAAACACTCCAACTGAACATATTAATTCCTATTTAATTCCTATATGTTTGCATATCTAATGAGAAAAACAAATTGTGAAACCACGGTTATAAAAACGCATGCGATAAGACAGGAATGAAGGACGTAATCCCACAACTGACATGGATGGAGGAATGAGAAGTATTTTATTTACAGTAGCATTGTCTAAACTCTCATACACACACACACACACACACACACACACACACACACCCTCCCCTCTGCTCAAACAATATAAAAGTGACAGTCAGCCGGAGAGACGGAGATACCATGAGCTACAATACGGGAACTAACATGAGGACTCTGGGACTGATTATTTTTGCTCTGCTGCTGCTGACAGCCAGCCAAGGTACAGGTGCTGCACGCAAACACATACATACACACATTACCACAATATATAACAGGCCTTAATCAGCTTAAAAAACAGGGAAATTATATTTTTGTTGCTGCTTGTTCAAATTACTTATTCAAATTGAGCTGAAACACCACAATTCGTGTCATGCCTTTGGACACTTTATTGGATGTTTATGTTCAACCAACTTACATTTGTACAGACAATTAAGTTGACCTAATTGTTTTGTGTTGGGAAAACATGAAGGGATTTTGTTGGTGTAACTACACTGTACATCAATAGATAGATAGATAGATAGATAGATAGATAGATAGATAGATAGATAGATAGATATATAGATAGATAGATAGATAGATAGATAGATAGATAGATAGATAGATAGATAGATAGATAGATAGATAGATAGATAGATGCTTTGTTTCCAGTGAAGACTTAGAGAAACTTGTTCATGCTTTTATCAGCAGCAGGGTGGATTACTGAAACGGCCTCCTCACTAGCCTTCCCAAAAAGACAGTCAGACAGTTGCAGCTCATCCAGAACGCTGCGGCCAGGATTCTGACCAGAACCAGGAAATCAGAGCACATCACACCTGTCCTCAGGTCTTTACACTGGCTCCCAGTTACATTCAGAATAGATTTTAAAGTATTATTACTGGTCTATAAATCACTTAATGGCCTAGGACCTAAATACATCACAGATATGCTCACTGAATACAAACCTAACAGATCACTCAGATCTTTAGGATCAAGTAAACTAGAAGTTCCAAGAGTTCAGTCAAAGCAGGGTGAATCTGCCTTCAGCCACTACGCCACTCGCTGCTGGAATCAGCTTCCAGAAATCATCAGATGTGCTCCAACATTAGGCACATTCAAATCAAGACTGAAAACACATCTGTTCAGCTGTGCCTTTACTGAATGAGCACTGTGGTACATCCGACAGATTGTACTATTATGTTTTTCGTTTTCTTTTTCATTCTTTTATAACCTATTTTAACTCATTTTAATATTTTTTAATCTGTTTTTAATAATTTTTATTCTCTGCATTTTATGTTCCTAAACTTGTCTTTTTTATTCCTGTTTATGTAAAGCACTTTGAATTGCCACTGTGTATGAAATGTGCTATATAAATAAACTTGCCTTACATAATTCCTTCATGTTATCGCAACACAAATCGATTAAGTTAACCTAAATAGTTTTTTTTACCAATGTACAGGGTTTATACAGAATTCTTCAAATTAAATTGAAGACTTTTTAAGACCATTATGAATGAAATTTTAGACTTTTAAAGCGCTAAAAAATTTTTTTAATTTTTTTTTCTAATGGCTCATTTACTTCTGTAAATAGTTTTTGTATAATTGGAAGATCATGTAAAGGGATGTGTTGCTGTAGTTTTCTTTCCCTGATTAGGTAATTTAATTTGAAGGATAGATAGATAGATAGATAGATAGATAGATAGATAGATAGATAGATAGATAGATAGATAGATAGATAGATAGATAGATAGATAGATAGATAGATAGATAGATAGATAGATAGATAGATAGATAGATAGATAGACAAACAGATGGAATAGACAGATAGGCACACATTTTATTTTGATGGTCCAATGTAGAATCTAGGTTACATTGCTTCTACATACTGTATCAACTAATTCTCATTAGATCATAAGTAGACTGTTAGGTTGGGGTTAGGGTAAGTGTAGGTTGACACCTACTTGTCACTTGTACTTGATGGACAGAAGGACAGATAGATGGATAGAAGGACAGGCACATGGATGGATAGAAAATGAATGGATGCATGGAAACACAGATAGATAAAGATGGATGGACGTTGGATAGACCAGTGTTGCTCAACTGGTGGGTCGGGTCGCGGGACCATTTTCAGTGGGTCTCGGAGTGTGTGGTCAAAGAAACAACAACAAATGTTTAATTTTTAACTTATTTTGGACTTTTATTTTGAAATGCCCGCGCGACAACCGTACCTTTTGACATGTGAATTTTCATTTAATCATTTAATCATAGCAACAAATATGATGAAGCGCAAGTATGACTCCGAATATGTAAAGTGTGGATTTACATATATTGATACATGAAACCGTCTTAATTAAAACGACATTTTAAAACCAAACATCCGAGTTGCAAGGACAAACCTGTGGATTATTTTCAAAGACGACTCCAGGCATGATAAAAGTGCCTAACATCGTCATGTTCAAAACGAGCACAGGCACTCCACGCATCTTACTGTGATAAGATAAGGGGAGTTACTAACACGTGACTTGTTTTGCTCTTTTGGTCCGTTTAAAAACTTTGCCGTGTGAAAGCGAACCGCACCAAGAACAAAAACCAACAATGTAACAATTTGAATCCCTGTTTCAGAACAACTGAATCGATTCACAGGTGTGAAAGCACCCTTATACTCACGTTTCATCTTTTCCTGACAGCCAATGATACAGACGTGCAGAGATGGACATGCGGATACCGAGGGCTATGCAGGAAGCACTGCTATGCACGGGAGTATATGATTGGTTATCGAGGCTGCCCTCGCAGATACAGGTACACAAACGTCCTTCAATGAATGCCAACTTACATTTGTTTTTTTTAAATGTAGTCCTTTGGGCCACTTCCACACTTCCACTGAAAGATAAGACATTAAAGCGAGGTCCAAACTCACTGTAGTCATTAAAAATCCCATAGCACTTCTCATAAAGAGTAGAGGTGTAACCCCGGTGGCCTGGCCAAATTCCCTCTATCGGCTCTTAACCATCATGGCCTCCCAATCATCGCCATCTACCCAATTGGCTCTATAACAGCGCAGTGATGCCGTTGTCCTGTTGCTACGGCTGCACCATCCAAGTTAATGCTACACACTGGTGGTGGTGTGGAAAGACCCCCCTCATAATTTTGAGCTGCTTCGGGTGTATGGCCATTCACAATAAATGCGCTATATCAGGGGTGGCCAACCCGGTTCCTGGAGATCTACCTTCCTGCAGATTTCAGTTGCTACCCACAGCAAACACACCTGAACCAATTAATTAGGACCTGAACACCACGTGATAATTACAGGCAGGTGTGTTTGATATGGGTTGCAACTGAAATCTGCAGGAAGGTAGATCTCCAGGAACAGGGTTGGCCACCCCTGCGCTATATAAATACACATTACCTACTTACTATATTGCAATATCTGACCAACCAGAATCAAGTATTTCATAGGACACTGCAATAAGTTATTACATGGCTCTCTGGAATACTTGATTCTGATTGGTCAGCCGCGACATTCCAAGGTATGTTTGGTCCTGTTGTGAAGCGGAGCACTGCTGGGTGAGACTGAAGGGCTTTTGAAAGCAACCATCCTGAATGTACTTTATTCCACTTATTACTTAGCTACTTGCAACAAAACATAAAAATTAGACATTGTTTTGAGCTGTAATAATTATTTAATTGAACGCAAAGCTGACCTAAACCAAAACAGCTGATGGAGTATACACTAACCTGCGGATTATTCAGTCTTAAGATGGCACCAAACAGTCGAAACCTGAGGCCGGACAGCCAAGCAGATGGATATACGCAAGTGTGAATGTAGGTATATGGATGTGAACGTGTTCTCTGATGGCCAGTGTGATTAGAAGTTCCCGGATGAGCCTGTGTTATTCAGCGGTTGTTATCTGGGAATAGCGCATCTCAGAATGTCACAACTGACCAATTAGAATCGAGTATTCCTGACACCAGTGTAATATTCCTTGATAACAACCACTGAAATTAATAACACAAGCTCATCTGGGTACTTCGAATCCTCTTGAACGCCAGAGAATATTCACATGCATACTGTTTGGCGCCATCTTCTGAATGAATAATATTTAAGTTCAACGCAATCTCACGGCATTTCGTAAGTTTTTAATTTAGTGGCTAATTCATATGAATTCGTACGATCTAATTCGAACAATTTAGTACGATTTTCTCATCACCCAATGACGGTTGGGGTTAGGGGTGTGGTTATATGCCACACCTTTTTAAAATGGTACATTTTCGTACAAATTAGTCACTAATTTGACAAAACGTAAAAATGTTTGTTTCCACATGAGATCAGGCTCGTAAGTTAGTATATGCGCGGTCAGTTCCATTCAGCATTTTTTGTCAGCTTCATCTAAAAGAATTGATAAACAAAAATGTAATTTTTACGTTTTGAGGCAAGTAGTCATGTAATAATCAGGATAAAGTACATCCTGGCAGTTGTTATCTCAAAATAAAGCCCTCTGTCAGGGTTTATTCTGAGATAACAACCACCTGAATGTACTTTATTCCTTGCTATTGTACCTTTTATTAGATGTTAATGTTTTTTTCTGCTTAATTAAATTTTACTTAGAGATCTGTTACTTCTGTTTTTGCTATTCATATTATTTTCAAAAACTAGCTATATTAAAGTTAAAATAATTCATATTTGAAATACTAACGTTAATATTTATTTTGTGAAAATAAAAAAATGGTTTTAGTTACAATTACCATGATATTAACCAAATTTTCTCAACTTTCTAGGTGCTGTGCTTTGCGATTTTAACATTTGCGAAGAAGCTCCTGCTTGCCAAGACTGCGTGCAGAACCTGCTGTGTTGATTTACAAATGTTAGCATAATAGCGCGGTCGCATTTGTGAAATTCAAGGTCTGCCGTCAACAACAAGCAGTTTCTGTTGGTCAGTGCTACAAATTCCAGTGACCACCTTGAACATGAGCAGATTCTGCAATGGGAACTTTTCCTACAAAATCGAAACTGTCGATCATTCATATTTGAAATTTGCTGAATTCCTATCTGATTTCCCCTTCGAAATTGAGCAGAGCTACTATAAATGTGACCGCACATGAAGAATGATTTATGCTGCAAAATGTAACCAACAGTTTGCATTATTCTGTCGCTTTCTCAGCTAAACCAGATCTGACGAGGAAATGTAACTATTTTATGTATTGTCAGAAAAGTGGCTAATTCATATGAATTCACACGATATCATTAGTACGAAAACATACTATTTTTAAAGTGGTGTACACCAAGTCAATCAGGGTATCTTCCGTCCATTCCATATTCGTTTCTAAACAAAAAAGGGTAAACTAAGAAAAAGGAAGTTTTTCGATTTTCTTTCAAGGTTTTGGATTTTCGTTTTTTAATTTAGGGTAGGAAATCGGATAAACAACTTTCAAAAATTCATTATACACATGCAAGTGGTGCTGAAACGTCTGTTTTCCACCGATTGGTCAACCAAATCTGAGCTCGTGACGTAGCCCTCAAAATAAAGCTGCGGTCACACTTGACTTGACTTCCCATCGACTTCCATTCATACTCACGCGAATGCGTCAGACCGGAAACGCAAGGTCAAGAGTCGAGTTTCGCAGGTTGCTGCAGTGCAAAGTTCAAGCTTGGTGAACTTTGACCTGCGAAATCGCATTACTTGACTGCGTGAGACCAATTGAGGATCAAAACATGACCTCTCTGGACAGAAATTTATAACACGGAGCAATCGCTCGCTTTTAAAATGTCTAATCGCCTTTTTTAATCCCTTTCACAGCGTCGTACGACAGAATTTCCTACTCACAAACTCTAGTGTGACCGCAGCTTAAGAGCCCTTGACCATACCCAGGCTTTTAATTATTATTATTTTATTATTTTATTTTATTATATATATATATATATATATATATATATATATATATATATATATATATATATATATATAAACTAAGTTTACATATTCTGCTATTTGATAAGTTATCAGGCTTATATTCTAGGTGTATGCATCAATTTAATAAAAACGCAAATAAGCTGTATTATTATACATTTGTCATTAAAATATGGTCATAGTTATCTGCCAAACATTCTGGAGCTTTTTGGCCTATATATTAATAATAATAATGATAATATACCTATAATTCTATTCAATTCATTCAGCTTTATTTGTATAGCGCTTTTACAATGTAGATTGTGTCAAAGCAGCTTCACATAAATGGTCATAGTAACTAGAACAGTGTGGTTCAGGTTTTAGTGTTTAAGTTCAGTTCAGTTCAGTTTAGCTCAGTTCAGTGTAATTTAATCATTATTCAATCGCCGCCAAACTTCTTGCAGCTGTGCAATTGTAATATTATCATTATTAACAATCGGTAAAGCGCGTGATGTGCACAGAGAGCACTATGCTGAATTAAGTTCTCTTTAACCTAAAGGCTCCTACACACCGGGACGCTTTTCATTTGCGTTTATCGTCAGCATTTTACGAGACTTTTTTCGTATTCAAACCCCAAGCAATTTTTACTGGCGTCAAGCAGAAGAGTATGCTAAATCACTCCTTGACGTTAGAGGGCACTACACAACTTTAAACTTCTGACGCCCGCTTATAACACAGAAGAGGAGGAGGAGAGGTAGTTCACACGCTTGTTTTTAAATTTACTGGTGACTCAAACAGGCATGGATGGTTCAAGCAGCAGCTCTAGCGATGAAGAAACGATTATTGTTCACCAGAGCAATAAGCAGCTCCACGTTCGTATCGCCTCTGGGCATCTTCTTCAATGTGACCTCGCATTGATAGTTTTGCGCTTGAGCGCCTCCAAGTGCTGTTTACTGTAACTTCAGCAGCTCCGTGCACGTGAACAAAAGTGCCAATTTGATTGGTGAAGGTTTTGATGCGGCGCATCAAAAAAACAAACAAAAAAAACAAGCATGAGGAGTTTTTTTGAATTACGCTTTTGCGCCTGGCATTTTGCGCGTTGGTGTGCACGATCACATTGACGCCCTTTATTTAAACTATTAAAACTATAAATATAAAACTATTAAACTGTAAACATAAAAATAAATACATTTAAAGTAATGGAAAGTTAGATGTAAAACAAATCTAAACTAATATATAGGCTACAGGCTAAATAAAGGCACCCTGTCAGAGCTTTACATCATGACGCAATGTATACAAGCCTGATCAAACTGATCAAATGGCAGAATATGTAAACTTAGTTTATATATATAATTAAATAATAATAATTAAAAGCTTGGGAATGGCCCGCAGAGGGCTCTTCTTTCAAGGGCTAAATCACGAGCTCAGATTCGGTTGACCAATCAGAGAAAAATAGGCGTTTCAGCCACTCCTACATGTTGATAATGAATTTTCAAGTCATTCATTTGTTTTCTTAGCCTAAATTAAAAAAACAAAAAACAGTTTTCTTAGTTTTCCTTTTTTGTTTGAAAACAGATATGGAATGGACGAATTAAAAGTCCCACTCCTAAGCCCAACCATCATTCAGGGATAAGCAAATCATACTAAAACGTACAAATTCCTACGAATTAGCCGCTAAATCAAAAAGTTTCGAATTGCTTCAAGATTGAACCATCATCTGAGCAAAACACATGTATTAACCAACGTATCCACATTTTGATTGTCAAAAGGATCAGCCAATATGTACCAGAAGCTATATTTAGATTGGCGAGTTGTGTATTATTAGACTGGTCTCTGTACGCACGCAGTTTATGTGTTAGTTATTTGCTCTAATTGGATTAATGGAGTGAAAGCAGCTCAGTGTTTGCACCGAGCAACTCGAGTTCACTGACCCGCATCTCTCTCGTAACCATCCCAATCCAGTGCATGGGGGGAGCAAATGCAAGTTTGACGTAACAAGTTTGGTCATGAAGCAGCTGGATTGCTGAATGCTTTGTGTTGTACTTTATGGTGTTCAACTAAATCAAATAAACATTTAAAGGAAGTGCAGTTCAAGTTTTTTTTCTTCGGTATGAAAAATTCTAATGAAAATGTAGCTTTACCCAACATGGGAATGAATTATGTAGGGATGCACCGATCCCGATATTGGATCAGATATCGGTTCGATTCGGCATATTTTTGCTGGATTGTCTATCGCTATATTCTGTGTAATTTATAAGCCAACAAAAGCCACAAAGGTAGCCTATTATAAGGCACTAGAAAGCTGTCATGTAGGCTACTATATCCCAAATGTTTTGAAGCCATTTTATAGTTTAATGTGAAGTACAGATGAATATTCAAGTTGTTAAATTCATGTTCAGTTCAGCGCTTCCCGCCGCTGCACCTGTCAATCATTCTCCATTCACAATTCCGTGCGTCGCGTTCATGACAACTCGAAAAACTTTTACCAAGACTAATTTGTTCCTGTTAATATAAGGTAATCGGTGGAGAAATGCATTTAGTTTTGCATTACATGGGTTCATTTTGACCTGCAACATGGAGATCATTGTGTTGGAATATCAAGCCAATTCCATGCATGTTCAATAAGAAAAGGTCTGGAGAGTGTTTTCTTCAATGCCCAAAATATTAGTAATTTATTAGATACAAATGAATAATTTGATGACGGAGCTCTGGGTTACGTTACGCCAATGCAATACGAGAATTACATTCAGGAGGTTCGCAACTAATGGCTCGTTTCCACTGACTGGTACGGTACGGTATGGTTCGGGTCTGTACGGGTCACCTTTATCAGGCTCGCGTTTCCACTACTAAGGGTACCCTTTTGGTGGGCGTGGTGTATGACAAAGTTTCAGTCTACATCATTTTCGCTCGAGAAAATGTCAACAATAAAGCTTCACAGGTCGTTCACATATCATATGAAAAGCACTTCTCATAAAACAGATGCTTTACACACATAAATACTTGTGTATAAATGTTCATTACTAACTTTTCTATAAACAGGAGTTGTTTATAACTGCAGATCAATGACGGTGCGAAATAGCCTACTGTAACGTCTGTAATTATTTTAAAAAATAAATAAATGAACATATATGAACACATACAGACCCTTACAGTCTCCGATATGTTACCAACTACAGAAGAACTACACAAAGCAGACATTTTGTCGTTAATTAGGTTCAAAACAACACAAAGTATAGCCTACAGTCAGAGGAAACATCTCATCTGTGTCTGCAATCTTCAGCAGCACATGAAGCCTCTGTTAGAGAGTCATTCCATCATTCCCAGTTCATATTAGTCCAAAAGGTGATAATACGGATTAAAACAAGGCAGTTTGCTTACGTTTGCTGAAGAAATAACGTGCTCCTTGGCTTCGCCTTTTCTTCCGAGCTCCACTCTCACGTTTGTCCTTTTCTTTCTGAATGTGTCACTCTCGTTTGACAGCTTCTCACAGGATCGGGTTTCCAAAAGCTTGTCAATAATCAAGTGCACGTTATTATAATCAGCTCAAGAAGTTTGTTATTTTAGATAGAAACGTGCGACAAGCGCAAGGAAGAAAGCGAAACCACTTGGGCTTCAGACTGGCTCGTAAACAACTACATGGCACAGGGTAAATACGCTCTTCTCCATGGCTTTGTGGCTGTTTATCATGACGACGACAGGGTTTGTTTGCAGGATCGATCATGGCTGCATATGTATTTATAATTCCACTGTAATCTCTCGCTGTGTATTACAAACATGGTGGGTCCTTTGTTTACATTCTGGCTTGTTGCGTCTACGAATGACATATCTCTGTAAACCAATAGCGTTCAGCTGCGCGTGTAGCTCCACCTTTTGGGACCCTTTCTGCAGTTTGGGACCCTTTCGAAAGGGTCCCTAAAAAGTAGTACGGTACGGTTTGGTTCGGTACGCCTTTTGACAGTGGAAACGGCCATAAAAGCGTACCAAACCGAACCGTACCGTACCACTCAGTGGAAACGGGCCATAGCATACATTTCCTGACAACTGATATTGACAGGTGGAGTTTTGGTGTAACGTCATTTGTCAGTAATTGTTCAGTCCTCCATTGGCCGCACCTTAGACATACTTCCTCTTTTTCTACGAATTCTCTGCACAACAAAAAAGCATACAACTTTCTGTGTTTTGTGTTCAGTTTTAACACCTCTCTTCAGACAGGAAGTTTCTGCAGAGCTGAACTTAATTTT